GGCAGCTTCGTTGGGCGGAGCACCCCCACACTCCCTCCGCCCCCCTGCAACCCCATGAAACTGTGTAGGAGTGACCCTCTGGCCCCATGTGCTAGGGAGGTTCACACACACACACACACGCACGCCCACATAAGCCCGGTAAACATGCACAGATTCAGGGCAATCACACCCACACAGACACACACTGAGCAGTCAAGCCGCATGGAGACATTGGCGTACTCACAAGCATTACATCCACGCTCCGCAGCCGCGAGGATCACTAAGTTGTTGCGTGTTGTTCCTGCTTTCGTTTGGCGCGCGGTCAACATGGAGCCAGGCAGCAGCAAACAGATTTCGAATGCTCGTGTGGCAAACTCTCGTCTTGGATCAGGTCAGGGTGCAACTCAGCTCGCAAAGGCTACTTCGACCACTGCGTTGTTCTCCCGCAGCGTGGCATTGGGCTAGTTTCACTTTGGCGCAACGTGATGGGTACATCTTACTGTGTCGTGTTTCGCAAGAATGCAAGACTTCACACCTCTGACTGTTGCTGTAAGGTATCGTTGCACGTGCCAGGGGCAGCCTCTCGTCTTGGAGAGTAATCACTGGTATCAATATGTACGCACTGGTATCAATACGTACACATGTGGACGTTGTGGATGTGCGTGCTCAGGCCAAATTCCATTTGTGGCTGGTGCCCCCCTCGCTGCTGAGGGGGACGGTGTGTACGCGGGAACCGTGAAGACTGGGGTTCGAAATTGCTGTAAATTGCGTTGCACAGCTACGACTGTATTCGATAGCCGCTCTCCTGTGCCTGTGCAGTTTTGTCTTGGTTTGACTACATGCATCAAACGGCATCAACAAATGCCTGCAGGATTGCGCTATCCAACAAGTTTTGGATGTACTATGACAACATTGTGCACCTCGGTTAGAAAACGTTGGCGGTTACGCGGAAGGAATCTCACTAATGGCGTGTAGCCCTTCCTTGGAGCAGAAATCCATTGTGACGTAAGGCTCCTGACGCTGCTCATGCCTGCTGGATTTGTTTGGTTGCTTGGCAAGGCCACGCCACCAGGCAAGAATTTGTGTTGACTGACTTGAAACCCAAGGTTTATGAATCGTGTCCCCAAGTGAGCTGATCTCCAACGGCGCAAGTGAACTTCTAGCTTGTTTGTTCAAAGTCGCAAGCTGCAGCAGACCTCACGAATGGGAATCTGTAATATGTCACGTATCCTAGGGCATCAGCTTTGTTGACTTCGTCTGTCAGCCTGTGAGAGTAGCGAGGTCTTGGACTTGACATCTGCGTTTGAAAAAGCTTGTTCGCAGCATGCCGCAGTGATCGAATTTGTGTGGATGCTCACTCCGTCAAGCAGGCAATGCAATCATGATTGCAGAGTGTCCTGTCAGGCATAGAACCCTGGAGCGAGCCCGTGGAAGGCAAGTCTACGGGCCGGTTTGACAGCACAACCAGAGCATGTGTTTTGGCGTCGTTACTCTCTGCTGAGTTGGATGGACGAAAGTTGAAGAAGATGTGCACCTACAATACCAACACCGTCAAAAAGGCTTTGCAGGCTTCAAACGTTTCCCGCAGCTTTGCTGCGCCAGGTTCAGCGCATGGCCTCCGAGAGAGCAGCTGAGCAACTGGCCGAAAAGCTTGTCAAGGCAGGCATCTGCACGGGAGCTTGAGTTGGAAGTCCTGGCTGTGAAGTTTAGCTTGGAACTCTCCCTCTTAGGATTTTTATGGATTAAACTGCGTTTCTTTCGTTTACAGAGATCGCAAGTCTCCAGGCCTAGGCTCGCAGCATATCTTGGGTTGGGTCTCTCGCCGGCTTCTTGTTTGAGGCAGCAACGAAGACTGATGGCCTCCTAGCCTGTGTAGAACTTGATGTGGCTCAGAGCCTCGGGGGATCTCAGCTTCCGTTTGTCTCTGTGTCCTGTGTGCCGTCTTGGAGGCATCTGATCGAGCAACTTAGTCAGTGGAACTCTCACCAGTGACGAAGAACACCCGCCTCGTGCCGAACGCCGACTCTAAGACTCAAGCTCCTCCACAGCTTTGCAGGTGGTGGCGTCGGGCAAGCTTCTGTCCACTCCTGAACCATTGGAACTCGTCAGGTGCTTACACCATCATTCCGGATGTCATGCTCGCGCGTCTCGCGCTATATGCTGAGTTAAGCGTAACAGAACGACTCACGCGCTGGCCTCGAGTGCCGCGATTTAAGCACTCCGCATTGAAGGGTACGTTGAAGGGTTTGAGGGTTGCAGGCTTCGGATTGAGAAATATGGGGTTTGGGTAACGAGTGTGTTATGGAGTTTTCGGGCTTATGGTTCAGGCTCGACAGTTGTAAGGTTTGAGTTTTCGGGTGTAGCCTTTTTGCGCCGGGCTTGCGCTGGCGCAGCCCCTTTCCGCACCGCCCCGCCGGCTGCCCTGCCACATGCCACAGCAAATCCCGAAGCAGAAATCACGGAAACTGTGGATCGAACAAGGCGCGAATCGATTCGGGAAACTCCGCCACAAACCGATAGTGGCTGATGCCATTGTTAAAATCGTTTTAAAGCCGCGCCATCATTGTAAGATTATACGCTAGGCGGTTCATGAGACGACAGCGGCTGATCACATTCCACAAGCCCGCCCCTGATCACATGTCTTAAGCCGTTTTAAAGCTGCCCCCGCACTAGGGGGATAACGGGTGATCACTTTTTTTCCGTTTGCAGCCTGCCCCGTCAGCAGGCGATGCCGTTCATGGGACGATGGCGGTTGAGCACATTCCTTAAACTCACACCTCATCGGGCGATGGCGGCTTATCACATTCCTTGAACCCGCCCTCGCATTAGGCAATCGCGGTCGATCACATTCTCTGTACCTCCCTCATTTGGCCATGGCGGTCTAGTGTGTGCCGGCCCCCTATAAGGCGATGAAAGGAGAACCGCTTCAAAGCGGCTGATCACCTGAAACCTGACCCGTCATCAGGCTATGACGGTTCAAGAGGCGATGGCCGTTGATCACATTCTTAAGGTCCGTCCGCTCATCAGGCGATGGCGTTGGATCACATCTCTTTAACCCGCACATCGTTAACCCGCAATTTCATTGGGTAGCGGTTGATCGCATTTCTGGAAAGTTAACCCGCTGGCTCATGAGGCGATCGCTGTCGATAGTTTTTGTTTTTGTGGCTTCTGATTGACTAGTTTTCTGCTGTCTGTTCGTTGTTTTCCACATGTCCAGCTGTGGTGGAGGAGTCAACCGTTGTAGATTTCGGCTCTGCTGCTGTGGTGTGCGAATCACTCGTGGTTTCCGATTGCAATCGTGACACGGCGTCAGCGCCAGCTGCTCACAGGTCTGGCGTTCTCAAAACCCACAACAATGCCGTCCACCTGCCTGTACTAAACCAAGAGCGACACTCTTGAAATTCATTGAGTCCGATATGATCCTTAAAGCGGTAAAGCCCATGAGTTGGCATCCCAAGTCCGAAGCCCCAAACAGCCAACAAGCATGGTGCTGCAGGTCCTACCTCAACTTGAATCGGCAGAGCATGAAGTTGTCTTGAAGGCTGCGGGCCCTGCCGACACTGGGGAGGGGGAGGTCTCCAGTGCTTCCGAGCTGAGGCCACGGTGGTTCTATTCCAACGCTTCTGTGGCACAGCAGCAGCTTCGCCGAGACCCAACTAGCGCGGACTCGCGCTTCATGTTGCATCTTCTTGCATTTTCTTGCAAGCTTTGCGAGCTGCAAGCTGCTGCGAGCTCGCAAGGCCGGACCTTGACAAACTCGTACCAGCTGTCAGCTCCATAGCAGCTCAGCCAGCAGCTCAGCTGTCAATGTCCGAGTGTCCAAGAGCTAAGGTTAAGGAGCTTGCCTTGCCGACTCTTCTGAAATTCGGCCAGCAGATGACGGCTCGTCGAGCTTTTCAGGCAATCGGAGCATTCTCTGAACGACGGGTGTCTGATGGCTAGCATTGGCACGTCAAGGCAGCTTGTGCATTGACACCGCTGCTAAATCGAGCAGCGGTGTTGGCCGCACAGTGCTGTGCCTTAGCAATCAAAGGCCTGTCGGCTGAGTGCTGCGACGATGAGTCTTTTGTTAGAAACCCCAGTTCTCCTTCATTCCAGGGCCTTGGAAAGCGGACGTTGTGTTGCCGTTCTACGAAGCAGTTGCGGATCTAGAAGAGGCAAGCAGCCTACAGGTACGTTCCTCCATCACTCTTGGAAGCCATACTTTGAATTCTGAACCCCCCGGCAGGTTTTTTCCCGTGCTATCATTGCACGTGCAGAAATGCTGCGACCGTTCGATGCATCGAGGTGGCCGCATGCGTTGCAGACAACGGCTTTCGATCTCTGGTGCAAGTTTCGTTCACACGTGTCTTGACGGCAAGGATTTTTGCATCGCACAAGCACTTCGAGGAATGCCAAGCGGTGGCCGCCAAAGCTGTGGCTGCTTCGGGTTTCAACCTCAGCTTATTGCAGACGACCTTCGCACCATTCAATCTGACAGACTCCAAAGTGCTGGCCGATGCTTCAAAGTCCTGCTTTCAGTACAGTGTGCCGCTCCATTCCCACGGTTCTCATTTGCAGAGGCATTCCGCTCGACGTCTCCACTTCAGATCTTGCAAGGATCCACTGCTGCACTTCACGAGAGTTTGCTTCCGATGTCCACGTCCACATGACTCATGACTCATGAGCATTGCAATCAACAGCATGTATGGCTCTGCACAGTTTTGCAGCTTAATCTCAGGTCATACGTGTCTTTCGACTATGCAAAACTATCACGCGGAAGCTGGGCTGTACTGCTAAACATGCGAACTCACTCATCGACAAAAGCTTAACTGCTTAGCCAGTCTCTGACCAGGCGTTGTTGAATGTATCAGACTCTGTCATTGCTCCGATGTTCCTCAAGTGTGGGGACGTCGCTCGCAGCAGGCTGGCACCTCTTCCGGCCAAGCCGGTCCATTGCTGGCGCTACGAGCAGCTGAGGCTTTTTTGTTGCCTGCCGTTGCTACCTGCCAGAACCGTGCATTGAGCTGGAGGCAGTTCTGGGAGACCAGTTGCTCTCAATACTCGGGGAAAGTTCCGGTCGATGCAGGGCACTTAGGATGTCAAGTTTCCGGTGCAATTTCTTTTGGATTCTCGCCCACTGGCTCTGGCGCTTGCCTGTGTTTTGTCTTGACTTCTTGCAGTACTTCAATTTCCTTCGCTTGGGTCTGACTTGTCTTCCATGTCTCGTCCAGCAAGGACTACCTGCGAAATTGGCATGTCTGAGCAGAGCTGGGCGAATTTCATCAGAGGTGGTCGGGACTCGTGAATCCGTTTCTTCGTCCCGAGGTTTTGGCGATCCTGTTGCTCCAAGCAGCAGGACACTTCGATGTTCTAGAGTCGGAAGGCACTGTGTGCAGCTGGGGGTCATGCCAGTGTGCAGCAGGAGCAGAGTTGTCATTGGTCAACCGAGAAGCTAGGTTCTCAGAGTTGCATCGTGCAGCTTCTGCTTGCAACTGCTTGCTTTGGTTTAGTTTCGTATGCTGTACCTCAGGCCTTGATGCGGCGGCTGCATGCTTGCGCACATCGCTCTCAAGGAGAAGTGCTGGCAGCTCAATGGTCACGCTGTTGGATCAAGCGCACAGCGAGTGGTTCATCTTACGGTTGGGTGGAAACTGCGGATCGAAAGCTTGCTTGCGACAGAGCACCAGGGCCAAACAGAAAAGTTGCAGATCCCGGCCTTTCGAGCCAGTCCATGCTCAGTTATTGGGAGGGCAGGCAACAAGCTTACATTTTCCCGGCGTCAAAACGTCTTTGCCCGTTACTTTCTCGAGGAGTGTAGACAGGTCCTGAAAGCAAAGTCCCCATGAGAACACTGTCATCACTCGAAGAGGTTATGGCTGTAAATTTCGCAGCTGGATGCCGACCCCGTGGCCTAACTAAGCGAATGCCGTCTTGCTAAAAGGCTCTGCCGCACATCATCAGAATGTAAAGCAAAGCTGAAAGGTATCCATCCCCATCCGCCAGAACTCCAATGGAAAAAGCAGTCGTGGTGGACAGGGATTTGTATCAAGCTCCACGAGTCTGTTACGCTGCGCTCAATGGGATCGTTCATCCGATCAAACGCCAGAAGCTCGAGCCCATGATGCTAGGACAGAGCTGCATTGCAGCGAGTGCTTCTGTGGCTGAGAGACTTGCAACACAGGTGGTGGATTGCATCTCCAGGGCGTTGTGATGCTCTCCGTGTACTGGTTGGCAGCAGCGCACTTGCTGCTGGTTCCGGTCGGGGGATCTCTGTCGCGTTGTTTCTCCTTGTTGTCGGCTCCTTGGCTTCGAAACGCTCCACACCCTGTGTCTTGCTTTGGAGCTGGTGTGCAAACAGCGAATTGAGGCCGCCTCCAGTACAAGCGAATGAAACACTGCCGACTTGCCTACCCACCTACCACCGACCCACCTCTGCCTACCTACCTATCACCACCTACCTACCTACCTACCTACCTACCTACCTACCTACCTACCTACCTACCTACCTACCTACCTACCTAGCTACCTAGCTAGCTAGCTACCTACCTACCTACCTAC